TAGATTTTCAAAAAATATGTTTTTATTGATTTTAGAGAGAGCAGGAGGAGGGGAGAGAGAGAGAGAGAGAGAGAGAGAGAGAGAGAGAGGAACATTGATTGGTTGCCTCCCAACAGGGATCAAACCTGCAACCTTTGAGCCACCCGACCAGGGCATAGTGATAAGTGTAATTGTTAAAAAGAAATACTTCCCTGTCTGCCATCTACAATTATTTCCTATCCTACCAATGTGAGCCTCCCATGCTGGGGGACACTCATCTAGAATACAGTTTGGGGAAGAGATTTACATGAAGAACTTTGCAGAAACAAATCTAATACCATTTCAACTGAGCCAAAGATGAAATAATAATTTATCATTATTCTGTTCACAATAATTTTGGAGAGTAAAGAAACTTAACTTATTCTAGAATAATGCAAAATATTTCACTGCCTAAAGGTCAATACTTATATGAGACAGAAAATTTATAAGCATCATTAAATCCCATTTTTTAAAAGCCACCTGAGTTCTTTCTTTAAAAGTTGGTCAGTTAGCCACTTAGTCTCACATCTGGGGAGAACCAGAAGACATTGCTGTCCGCATGGTCCCAGCACATAGAGGCTGGACTAGAAAAACATAACAGGCGCTATCATCTTTCCAGCCCCCACCCAAACCCTCCACTCCAAAAGCAGAACCAAGCTCAGCTGTGATCTGTGGTAATTCCATTAGCCCTGCAATGAAGCATTAAATTAAACTGCCTAGTGCAGATTCTTCTTTTGCTACAAGGGGAGACGTACCTTGTAAGGCCTGCACTTCATGCTAATGGATTTACTAACCAATTGCGTGTTTACAGCAGAGCACAAACAAGCAAAATAATTTGGTGAGATTGTGAAATCTCCAGTGGGAGTGTCGCAACAGCTGACCCCCCCCCCCCGATAATATTTACTCTAAAGATTTTATTTCTAGAGAGCTTTACCTTTAGAAAGAACCCTCCCATGGTTCATCTTTCTGTGGAATCTCCAAAGCACTCCTTAAAAAAAAAGTAATTACAGGAACACAACTGACTCGAGCTGGCACTGGTGTGGAAAGCCTTTTGTCATATTTGGTACAAGTCACCACCCTGGATCCATGGGGGTGGGGCGAAGTGGGGGGTTTAGACTCAGAAGCACAGACTCCAGTCAGCAGCAGAGCCCGGGCCAGGTCCCCATTCCCCACACCAATGCAGCGCTCTCTCCATCAGCCGAAGCTTCCCAGCCTTCCCGAGAGAATGTGAGGACTTCCCTTCAGCAGATCCCCTTTCTGGGGGTGCCTTCGGTGTCTGCCTCTTTCGTTCGCTGCCCTAGTCCTCTGAAGCCAGAGAACCACAAAGTCCCCTTGCAAACAGTGTGCTCTGCTAAGAGAACGACAAGAAGCTGGGCTTGTGCTACAAATACTTGGCTTTCTAACACCTGGGGGTGAGCACCCCTCACATCTAAATTCCACGGTATGTCTCACCAGCCCAGGTGTGGAAAGAGGTCAAGTATGCCAGAAAAGTCCTGGCACAGACAGGTCACTGAAGGTGCTGACATCTAGAGGTACAGCACAGCGGCCCTCAAAGGGGTCTTGGGCATCACAACGGCCCAAACCTCTTCTTTAATAATTGCTCACGGTCACAGAATAGGTTTGCGTCAGAGTAAGGACTAGAAACTTGGATGCCAAATATCCCTCTTTCTCTTTTCTAGTGTTTTCTGAAGCTCTTTTTGTCTCTGACGGTAGCAGCAATGAAGACTGGTGATGCCCTATAACCTCAACTGCTCAGGCTCTAATCTCAGGGCAGGTGTATAAATCTGAACACTTAAGCCTTGCCTCCCATTACCAGGCAACGGGAGACTGACGGCGAGGCCAGCTCAGCCGAGGCCGAAGCTCCCATCTGCACACACACCTGTGCATCCTGGGGGACTCTGTTCCAAGCTGCAATGCCTAGAAAGCTGCCAAATGAGGAAGGAAAGCAGATCCCGGGGGGCCTGCTGAGCTGACAAAGAGGCATAGCAACAGTCAAAACAACAACGAAGGACTCCAGCCTGAACTCCCTGTGCTCTTGCTCTCAGAAGCACCATCCGACACAGAGCAGAGCTGGAGCACCCTTCAGCCCTCTCCTTCCTGCTGTGCCCGGTGCTCACCCCAGGCACGGCTTCGGGCCTCCAGCCTCCACGTGGGTGAAGCAGCACCCATTCGCTCTTGATATCACCACCCTCATTTCTCGGGCCACTGTGGAAGGATCCCTGTGCCTGGCCAACCCCAAGTGGAGCCGCTTACCTGTCGGCGTCTCCGAGGCCCAGGGAGGTGTTTCTTTGCAGGGTCTCCCGCACTACAGCCATCCCATCCGGGAGCCGGTTCAGGCGGCGGGTGTAGAGGCCAAGTCCGCCATCGGTCATATACCTTTAAAAGAAGAGGAGGATGCAAACGTATGGTCAAAAGCAAGTCTTGTACAGTCTCATCGTTCATATGCAGGGAAGGCACTGAGGCTTCATCGAGGCTCCGTCACTGATCGCAGCCCAAGGCTCACTCGGCCGCCGAGTCAGCCCAAAGGATCACCAGCTCGCTCGCAAAAATAGAACTCAGCTTAATTAACCCAGACTCACAGGAATCCATGAAGCAGAAGGGAACTAGTGAATAAAATTAACTTCCAGATGTGTTCATGACATTCTTTTTAATGTCAGCTATTATACAAGCAGGGTGTTTTTTTTTTTTACCCAAGTACTGTAAATGAAACTGACAAGTCATAAGTACATCATAGGAAACAGTACAGAACAGGGCCCTGGAGAATGCAGGCAAGCTTTTGAGAGAGGCGGAAAGAAAGGACAGAGGATAAGAGAGGCCCCTCTGCCATCACAGGCAAGCACTTCTCTGGGATTTTCCTTTAAAGGATGGGGATATCACAGCCTTCCCGCCTCACAAGGCAAAGGTGGGGATTAGTGAGATGAGGCCTATGAAAGTGCTCTGCAATGTGCAGTGGGACCTACAAAGGAAAGACATCATCAGGGTTGTCATCTTGAAGTATCTACGATGGTTGCATTCACCTTTGACACTGATGTCTTCAGGTGATTGTCACAAAGCTCTCTGAATAACCCGAATGCTAATGGACTGCTCTCCAGATCTCTCGGTGATGCCACAACACTATCTTCTGATGAAATCTGTGTTGTCTAGGGAAGGGGGGTGACCCCTGGGACTTTCTGTATAGATGGATGACTGTCCACAGACCAGACCAGTTCCTGAGTCATCAGTAGGAGGTGGTTCAGGTCCAAAGCAGCTTTACACCTCTACCTTGGCTCCTTCACAGAATCTAACACACACACATCACACACACACACATTTTGTTGTTGTTAATTCTCACCTGAGGATATCTTTCCATTGATTTTTAGGGAAAGGGGGAGAGAGAGGGAAAGACAGAGTAACATCAATGTGAGAGAAACACATCTATTGGTTGCCTCCTGCACGTGCCAGACCAGGGCCCGGGCTGGGGAGGAGCCTGCAACCAAGGTACGTGCCCTTGACAGGAATCAAACCCAAAGGCGGACGCTCTATCCACTGAGCCAAACTGGTTAGGGCCACAACATCTAATATTTTAGCTTTAGAATATATGGGTTAGATCCTAACGGGTTTCAATTCGTGTTTGGGAACTTCTTGTGACATATTCGTAGAAAACGGAATTATAAGGTGCTACAGGGGTTGCCCAGAACCAGGAAGTTCAAGTTAGGGGCAGAGAAGAGAGTGCTCAGGGGAGCCATCTGGGGCGAGAAGGAACTCCCAGGACAGGGCAGAGAACTTCCCGTAGCGCAGCTTCCAGGACACCCTGCCTGAATTGAACTCCGATGTCTCCCCTTGCCCCCAGTTATGACATTAAAGACCACAGACAATGCAACGCCGACGTAATGGAAACTGTAGGAGTCAGTCAAACCAATCGTTTGTGGTTGTGCCAACCACACAACAGGACAGACTGAGCTTTTCATTCAACTATTCCATATTCACGCATGGCGTACCGCATAGAAATCTCTAAGACATACGCCAGGGACCGCACGTTTTTGGGCAAACTGCACGTTATTTAAATCAAATAATGCACTCTAGGTGTTGTTTTTCAATAATTATAACATTTTTATTTACAAAAACAAACAATCAAAGTTCCTAGTACTTTTTTAATGTATGGTACTGCGTAAAACATTTCCCTCTATGAAGAGGGACCAAACAAAATTTACATAAGTATCTAGATTCGCTCCTTTTTCCATGGGCGTGAAAACCGAGAACACTCGTGAGCGGTCCTTAACAGATGGCATGTGGAACACGAGAAAACTCCTGAGCGGTACGAACTGTGTTAACGACAAAGAGCACTCTGTGAATAGACTAAAAACCACCAAAACTGCCCTCCCAGTCCACTGTCCTCCTAATTTTGTTCCTCTCAGGGAGGGTGAGAGGGCCATGAATCTTGACTAGTCTAAGCCAATCATCGGCCTTCTATATGCCTTGCCACTGACTAGTTTAGAAATGGGTTGTATGATATAAATTTGGCTAGTGAAGTCATGGCTGCTGAGACTTCTGGGAAAGTTTTTCCACTCTTAAAAATGACATAAGAGCCCAGCTGGATGGCTCAGTTGGTTGAGCATCATCCTGTGCACCAAATGGTTGTCGATTCACTTCCCAGTCAGGGCGCATACCTGGGTTGTGGGTTTGGTCCCTGGTCGGGTGTGTAAGGAACAACTGATCAACTTTTCTCTCTCACATCAATGTTTCTCTCCCCGCACTTTCCTCTCCCGCGTCTCTCCCCCTCTATCTCTCTCTCTCTCACCCTCTCTCCCAAGGAAATAGCAAAAAGATTGCTATCTGCAAGCCAGGAAGGCGCCTTCACCATGAATCAAATCTTCAGACACCTTGATTTTAAACTTCCCAGATGCCAGTAGTATCTCAAAAAATGTTTGTTGTTTAAGCCTAAATAAACAAATACCACTTACTTTTGTACTTTAAATGGTGAATTTTATAGTATATAAATTATATATTAATTTTAAAAAAGTGATGACAGCTAGAGTTAACTAATTCTTTGTGTAATTACTTTTTAATGCTTACCTCTCCCATACAAGATAGTAACTTCCTTGAAGGCAGGGACTATTCTTATTTTGTTCAACTCTGTATCCCATGTGCCTAGCACATCCTCAGTGCCTATTAAATACTGTTGTTGTTGAATGAGTGAAGCCCCCAAAAACATAGTCATTGGGTGGGGTTTAGCAAGAACTTGTTGGAAGGACACCAGGTTTTCCTTCTTAAATGTCAGCAAACTTAATATCTAAGACACATGGCAAGGCAAAGTAAACGACCTGTCAGTCTGTCCACCTGTCTGTCCATCCTTCCACCCACCCATCCAACAGAGGTAGTCACTCGTGGTCCGGCGGTGGGTACATGCACACATCCTACAACTCGCACATGCAGAGAAAACCACCTACACCCAGATGCAGTAACTTTGCCAGAGGCTAGACTTGCTAGAGCAAATGTCCTTTCAAGGACAATTCAGTGGAAGCTCTTCAAAACACAATCTTGCACCATTAAGCAAGGCAGTTAATTTGATGTCAGTAAAATCCTTTCAAGCATATAGATAAACAAAAAATTTTCAACTGGGGAGATCTTGTCAAAGGACAAGCTAACTTTAGCATTCGCTTCCCAGCCGGATTTTTATTGCCGGTGAAACAACACACACAGTTGGGCAATTACACGTACCTGGGCATGTAGACGAGGCCCACACACAACACCCCTGGCTTCCTGTGAAGGGCAGAGCACAGAGCCTGGTCAGCATTCCCGAGATGGGACACGGAGACGTGCTGCAGCCCAGCCCGGCAACACCCAGTTGCAATATAGTTTGGTTGAAAAATGACCACCAATGACAGTGGGAGGGCCCTGGAGGGTGGCACTGATGGGATAACTTGGCTTGTCAACTGAGGCTGGGAATTCCAATTTTGTTTAGACAGAGATGAAGAGAAATGCAAGGCTAAATCTAGATGCTCTACCTTCTTAAATGCACCTGAAAGCTAGGGAGCTGAATGCAACTCATCTGATAATAATTCAGTTTTATTGCAAATCTATTTCATTCATTCATGAATGTGTGTGTGTGAGAGAGAGAGGGGGAGGGAGGGAGGGAGGGAGGGAGAGAGAGAGAGAGAGAGAGAGAGAGAAAGGAGAGAGAAACATTGGTGTGAGAGAGACACGTCGATAGGTTGCCTCCCACACATGCCCCAACAGGAGGCCGGGGGTCAAACCTACAACCCAGGTATGTGCACTTGATCTGGAAGGGGGAGAGAGAGAGGGAGAGAGGAAGAGAGAGAATTTACTTCTAGAGGTTTGTAGAAATATATTCAATATATTAAATCCTATAATTTTTATAATACTATTCAAAATAAATTCTGTAGAATGTTCTCATTAGCAGACGGCATAGCGCTGGGGATAGCTGTCACTAGAACCAGCTTCACATTCAATAATCCAATTTGACATACTTATTTCTAAGTTATTATCCACCAATTACAACAGTCTGATTCACAAAAAAGCTTGGTACATATTTTTCAGTAATCCTCCAGCCTCAATACAAAGATACATTTTTTTGTTCAACCCAAGTTTGCATAGGAATTGTCTACAGAACATGTTAATGTAAACTGCCGTGATCAACTTAATCATAATTTACAGGAGAAAGAAAGCATAATTTACAAGGGAAGCCATCACTGGCATGTTCCTCTGAAACACCAGCCCCTGCCCAGCAGTTAAAAAGGCTGGTGTTTCTGAAGGCTCCGGGGGAGAGGAGGGCGGGAGTGATGGCTGCTCCCCATCTTGGGGAGCTTTTGGGAGGCGCATGCAGAGTGGAGATGAAATAACTTGCCTGAGGTCACAAGGAAAGGAACCAGCCGATCCAGGGACTGAATCCTGAGCCCTGTGCTGGTTTCCTTCTCTGTGGGGGAAATAAATAACTAGTGCAGGAGCCTAACGAGGTGCTGGTAACATTCTAGAATTTGCTCGACGGGGTCCTGCCTGAGCGGCCAAGCAACTGAAGGATTCCATATTCTCCTCCGGATTTCGGCAGCGATGGATGGAGGGGGCTCGCTGCCTTGCCTTCCACCGCTTCCACCAGGGCTGGGATGGAGAGTAGGAGCTTCTGCCAAAGACACAAGGTGTCTGTGGGGTGTTTCCCTTGCTGTTCGAGGCTGCGGTGCTCCGGGTTGGTCAACGAATATCAGAGCTAGAAACAGGGCTCTGTGGTCAGACAGACCTGGGTTCCACGTCTCCTCTGCTCCTTGCTAGCAAAGTGACCTCACACATGTCACTACGAACATGAACTAATGGGTACCGACGCTTGCTGGGCACTGAGCAAAGGGCTTCTCATAAATCATGGTATTTGAGCTTCAAAAGAATCC